TGGAAAGCATCTGTGGATTAAATTGAGATTATAATTTTGTTATTGAATTGTTTTTGACAAGTTGAATATTGTAAATATGGTTTGTTAATCTCACATACAATTGGAAACATTTCGAACAAATATAAGGATTTCCTTTCTGAAATTGAACCTACCAATTCTGAAATACAACTTACCATTTCTAAAATTGAATGGACTTTTTCTGAAATTCATCTCACCGATTCTGAAATTGAGTTTACCATTTCTGAAATCGAACTAACCAATTCTGAAATCGAGATTACTTTTTCCGAAATTGAAGTTGAAAAGGTGGAAATCTTGAAGGAAAATTTCAGATAATAATTGGGACAAGTTGCTACCCATGGCTAAACCAGTAATCTGGGAGTAGAATTTATTATTGGAATTCCATACACTCAATATAGCTTCTCTCTATTAGATTTAGCCTTGAAACAACATTTTTTCCAATTCATTCTACTTCATGCTGTATCTTCATTTCTTGGTGGTAATTTCCTCAAGTAGGTAGAATATTTTTTGAAATAGGGACTCGTTGGTAATGGTTGTGGACTGCGTTCAGCAGAGCTGTTTCTAATGCCAGGACCGTTGATAGGGCAAGTATCGGGGGACAGCAGATCGTCCCGGTAGACAAACATACGGGTGTCTGTTCAGTGCTGGTTCGCTACTACTGTGCTTTCTTGATTCCGCGTAATCCGTTTTGTTCTGGGGACGGCCCACAGTGTTATCAACGGGAACACTCCCCGAGTTTTTGTTCCCGACTGGCTTCTCCAGTCGTTTCAGCTGGTAGGACTATTTCTACTCCATTTGTAAGGTGGCATTTGGTTTTCTGTTTGTAGTTTACTTATCTTGCTATTTTTGTTCCACCTGTTGCCTTGTGCGGCTCGGTGCCCTTTCTTGGAGTTGTGGCAGTTCTGTTGCTTCTATAAAAAGTTGGGGACGAGTGGTTCAGGAATGGTCAATGGCACTGCATATGTCATCTTGAAGAGAAAGGATGGCCCTGGCCAACTTTTCGTGGAAGGACTGAACGCCTGTGAGTCTGGGGAACGGTGCTGACCCTCACCAGGTACACATTTCCCTACCACTCATATGAGGCTTATGACTAGCAGAGTGGTAGTTTCAGTTTGGTTAATGCTATAATTGACTAAGTACATGAAAACTCTGTTCCTTCTCATGTAGTAAAACAAAGTTTGTAAATACATTTTAGGCTTGAACTGTTTTCCCTACCACTAATACAGATATGCTGCAGAGTGAGTAATTTCAGTCTGGTAAATGCTATAATTTACTAGGGATATGGAAACTCTTTTTCATCTCAGGTAGTAAATCGAAATTATTCTTTACATTTCAGGACTTCAGTCATATACTTACTGCCACTCAAATTGCAGATATATTGCAGGGTTGGCAGTTTCGAATGAAATGAATACCATATACCTTTAGATGAAGTTCAGACCCAACGTATTTGACAATTTAGTGAATATATCAGTTTTTTATCAAAATTATTTCAAATTTTTACATGTCTCACCTATGTTCTCTTTCCTTTTCAGTATTACTATTCGATAAAAAAAAAATATTTATAATGAATATTATCAACAGTTATTGATATATCATAATAATTCGATATCGGTAGCGCCATCTGTTGTAATTATCACGAACATTAAACAATACTTTCAGTTCTCTTCATTCTACTCTGATAATGGTGATTAGAATCCTAGAATTGAATCAGAATGACCTCAATTAGTACGAGGATGAATTCATTAAATAGGTAGCCAGTATTGGTAGAAACCTTTGCTCATAAAATTCAACAGGTGTAATTACAGATGTGTCCGTTAGACAGAATGGATTGATAGAAGTCACGTGATAAAGAATCCTCTTGTGAACGAAGGTGGACTTAATATCTCTCTCTTCCATTTTAGACTTTGAGCATATAGTATCTCGAGAATTGTTCACTTTCGATAAATCGAATTCTCCCGTGGAAGAATTTGAAGACTCGTGTTCGTGAGATTGTTTTGGGTTATCGAGAGTGAATTGAGCGAGTGCAGCCAAGAAAATCAAAGTCGTAGAGACTCCAAGAATTAGGATTTTCTGGTGAATTTTGGAGTTGACACATAGATATCTTGGATTCTTGGAACTTATTACATTACAATGTACACCAAGTTTATACAAGAAATGTCCAATCTGATTCACTATTTGGTAGTGCCAGTGCCTCACCTTGCCTGTACTGAAGTCTCTAGTCTTCTCGGAATTCCATCAACCAAATGCCCGATGAAGCCCTGGGGAATAGCTTATCATTCTTCCCCAACTCGCCAAATTATTCAAATTCTCCATTTATCATTCTCCTACTTTCAATCTCAATTTCATTCAATTACGAGTTCCAATTCATTCCCTCAATATCTCTATCACGCAAAAAATCGTCAATAATGCGAGCCCGATACGGACGAGCATTGTCATCCACGAAAATAAAATTGTTGACCACAACATCTATCATTTATGCAAATTTCTATATTTTAGTGCATTCATAAATTTTTTTAAGTACCACCAACTCACTGTTTCCATTTCTGGATATTTCATCCCAGACAGTCACTTCTCCACCTTCAAAAGCCACCCTCGCTTCCATGTGTTCTTTCACAAATCTGAAACTCTTCCATCTGACCTATACAGATTGAACCTATTCTCATCAGAAAACATTCATCTACTCCACTCTTGGTGATTATGAGCCCATATTCGTCGTTCTTTGAGCAGTGGACAAGCAGCACGTCCTCTAGTTCGAAGATTGGATTCATGACAGTCTTTTTCTGACTGTCTGGTCAGAGATTTGGACACCAGCGGCGCTCCAGTACATTGTTCACTAGCCTAGCTGTCCATGTATGCCTTCGACGAATGATTCTCAAAATGTAAGCATCCTGCCTCATAGTGGTTCTGTCCGATGAATTGCACGGTCGTGTAATCACCAAATTTCATCATTGTGCATACAAAATTACATCTTTATAATACGGACTCATAGATTTGTGAAGTTTCTAAACCATTTTCAAACCAGACATCAAACTTCGTGTTTATGGTATGAAACTCTATAATTTCATCTATGGAATTGAGAAAACCATGTTTCATCTGAAGAGAGATATGTTTCTCTCCACTGAATCTCACAAAGATGTTTATATCATTATGTATATACCCCTTTTTGAGTTTTTGTATTCGAACGCTCTCTCATTATCAAGAAATATCCCCACCATTCAATATTATCTAATTATTCGTTGATAAAATGCATCATTTCGAACAAAGAAAATATCTCTGACATAAGAGCATTTTTAAAAAAAATCCGAAATTGTTTCGAAAAACGACATCAAGTTTCATGATCATGGTCAAAAAAGACATTAAAAATATTCGCTCAAACGAGAACATCGACATCGCTGCAATTCGACTTCAATCATATTCCTGTAGAACGTTCATCTAGAATTTTCATAGTCTCTTACTGCTCTGACGAGTGACTGAAAGATTGAGAGAGCCGTGATAACCAAATAGAAATTAGTTATGGGATCCATGAGTAATTCGATTTTGAATTCGGCCTATATTTTGGACAACGACTCCCATTCTGTTGATCAGTTTAGTTCTGAATAGTACTTCAAAATCATGACATAAAATTTTTCACTGAAACCGGGTCCGAATTGAATCAAGAAAGCCATACAACTTTTCACATTCCAGTAGGTTTTTTGAATAGGTACATTTTGAGATCGGCAAAATATTTTAAGTCCATAGAAGAAAATGTTTTGTTAGCGACGAAGTTCAAATCACCCCGTGAATGAATGGTACGCCTACAGGAATGCCATATCATCCTATATCAGAAGATGGCGATTCATCGATTTCATCATCAGTATGCGATTGGAGCGGACTTATTAATCAGCATCAAAACGAGACAGTCGTCGTTGTATGTCATAAACGGTTTTCTTTGTACAAGCTATCCTGCCTGAGTGGATAAATTTGTTTAAGTGTGGAAAATGTGTCTATCTATGATTCCTCAATTAAGAATCTAACAGTATAATAAGAATAGTTGCTCATAATTGAAAATGAAAGCAACAAACTCAACGTGATATACTTTCAATATACTGATTATATTTAATGAAATGTTGGCCTACACACTATGCGAAGTCGCACTTCGCAGCCGTTACCCATAGAAATGGCCGCCAACCCAACGTCACCTACGAAATTGACATTCATAAACTACGACAATACAAGGTTAATCAGTGTCATATCATGGCCAGATCATATTTTCGTATTGTCAAGAGCTGTCATAATATTCTGTATACTAAGAAAAAGCCAAAATGCTCAAAGTTTAATAAAACGTTGAATAAATACGCGAAACTCACTCATTTCCACAAATGATAATAAATGAACGAACTTGGCAGATAACGAGAGAAAAACAACTAATTTCCTGACTATATGCGACGCAGAACATCCTCCCAAAATCTATGCAATAATTCGTATAGACGAATAAAATCGCGAGTGTTTCCTTCCTAAACGCCGAGCTGCGTCTAAGTGGTTCAGGAACGCGTGACTACCTGCAGACCGGTCTGGCATAGATTTCGGGAGGATGTAATACAATGTTCTGCGTGGCATATAGCCAGGAAATTAGTTGTTTTTCTCTCGTTATCTACCAATTTCGTTCATTTATGAACATTGTGGAAACGACTTTGAGTTTAGCGTATTTATTCTGTATACATTCAAACATGTCCTTAACATACCAAAGCTATGGTTTTGTTAATCAAATTGAGGTGCTATTGATTTGAAAGCAATAAGATATATATTTATAATAAACTAGTTGCACGAAAAATAGTGTGTTTACCATAGCCGCAAAACTTGGCGACCTCAAGGTTATCTTGCCACGGCATGAGTCAGCCTCGGCGATAACTTTTTTTTCGGCACCCCAAAGAGGTATTTGGCGGTTTAGGGATACAAATAACTATTTTTGTACACAAAGATTCAAAAACTAACCAATCAATTACCTCCTTCTTAGCTTTCTTCAGCTTCTTCTCCAATGTATCTATGTCGAAATCATCAATTTCGTTTTTATTCTTTCCATAACTTTTGGTAAAACATAGGACTGCTTGAGGTTCAGGGACAATCGGATGTCTATGTCTGTTCAAAACACCTACTAAGTTGTCAAAGTAGGTGAAATTCACTGGCTTACCACAGTCCAAAACTTCATCATTAGAATTGGATCTTACATTTTCCATTGATGTAATGGGATGATCGGTCAGATTTCTGAAAATATTGCATGGTTGTATATAAGCGATACTCGAAATAACTCTTAAACTTTCAAGAACAGGTCAGTGAGAAAGCAGCCAAAATTTCAAGTATCGTTTCAAACCGCTAATGGTCGATCAATACTAATTATTATAGTTTTTTGAAAGAAGAAAATAATTTTTCATTCCAAGAAGAATACATGATTCTTATGATTAGAAAAGAAAATCTGAAGAAAAATAAAGCATCTGAATTGAGATGAATTAAGATACCAGTAAATACATTCGTTAATTAATTATATACACAGCTCTTGCAAATAATAATTATTATTACCCTGCTAAAAAAAACAATAAAATCTAAGTTGCCTTACATTATTGAGTACCTATACCTATACCCATTGCACGTAGAAGTAGCAGATTTTTTTATATATCACATTCTACAGATAAAGAAGGGGCCAATTCATACCTCGATAAAGTTATTCAATCATCTACCTGATTCTCTGAAAACTCCACCCAGCCTCTATATTTTTAGAAAAAATGTTAAAAAAATTTTAGGTGCTAGATGTTTCTATTCTTTGGAGGAATTTTTCTCTGACTCATAACGGTCCATTGTAAATGAATAATAAGAATTGTGTTAAATATGGTTGATTATTGTGTCCTTGTTCGTATTCTTACATGTATTTTGAATGTATTATTATTATTGTATTGTTATTTCACTCTTTGTTATTTTAGCATAGCATATATTATGTTGACAAGCATTTATTTTAAATTATGTCTATATTTTGTTTTAGATCATTTTTAAATAAGTGTAATCATAGATAAGTATTGACAATTTTCAATACTTGGAAATCCAAGTCTGAAGGAAATAAAGTATTCTATTCTATTCTATTCTACATTCATATCGCCTAATTGGTCATAAAATACTGTTTAAATTTTGCTTTTGAACTAGGCTCCTTTGAAAGTCTTATATCTAAAAGAATGCTACTATATATTTTAGTCCATCATGATAATAATATAGTGATTCTTGGCCAACATTAAAATAAATTTTTGGTGAATGCAAATCCTGTTGTTGCCTGGTCTCATACCCATGGATTTCCGATACATTTATACTATTGTTATAGAGTGTTTTTCTTTCGAGGCTATGTAATGAATATACAGGGTGTCCCGAAATTAGCCTGCCAAACTTCACCAGGGGCTTCTTCGACCAAAAATAGGAAAAAAAGTTCCAATAAACATGAGTCGAGAATTTTCTCCTAAGGGAGCTACGCCCCTATGAAAGGGGGCCCCTGAAGATGATATTTCTTGAATATTTCCGAAACGCTACGTGGTACAAGAACTAAACTTTCCATGCCCAATGCGGTGAACATAAAATCATTTCAAAGTTCCATTCAGGAATGTAAAATACAGGGTGGGACTACATTAAATATTAATCAAACTCTTTCGAATGCATATTTTTTGACAATTTGATCTCGGATTATGAAAATCCACACCGTTTCACATGAAGAAGGTGCTCTAGTTCCGCATCGATCAGATGTTTCATTTTCGAGTGAAATCGATTTAAAAATATTGATCTCACATCTTATGCATAACGTTGCCAATTTTCAAATCATGGTGGCTATAAAAAAATCGAGTACTCTCTTTTCACCAAACAATCTCATGGAAGCGCAAAACATTCAAAAAGGATGATATAAAACTAATTCAATTTGTGTGCCTTTTTTTTTCATTTCCACTACGCCTCATTGCAATGTTATGCATAATATCTAAGATGTAATAATATTTTCAAATTGGTTTTACTCTATAATAATACACCTTATCGTCACGAAACAAGAGTATCTTTATTTTGTAAAGAGGTGTGAAATTTCATAATTCGAGATTAAATTGTCGAAAATGATGCATACAAAAAATGTTTAGCAATATTTAATGTATTCCCACCCTGTATTATATACTCCTGATTGAAACCTTGAAATGATTTTATTGTCACTGCATTGGGCATGGAAAGTTTAGTTCTTGTACCAGATTGCATCTTTTTATCACATGGAGTTTCGGAAAAACTCAAGAGATATCATCTTCGGGAGCCCCCATTCAGTGGGCCGTAGTTCCCTTAGGAGACTTTTCTCGACTCATGTTCATTGACAGTTTTCTTTCTATTTTTGGTAGTAAAAGCCGCTGGTGAAGTTTGGCATGCTGATTTCGGGACACCCTGTATAAAGCTATTTTGTACAAGTATTTGTTATATAAGGTAAGATATCCTGGACCAGTGTACAAATCACTGGTGGGATGTCTGTAAGGCAAAATGTTTACATTTTTGATATCTCTGTTCTGTAGGATTTTCACTAGATTCAGGATCTTGACATTGGCGGTGCCCCATACCAATAGTGAATATTGAAGATGACTATATTTATATATGCGAATAGTAGAGCATCTTCCTAACGTTCAGAGATATGTAACTTACTATCCTATACAGTACGCCAATGAATGGAGCTATCTTCGTTTTTACTATTTCTATGTGTACTGCCAGGATAATGTTTCATCTATAATCAGACCTAAATATTTCGCTTCTTTTTTATACAAGAGATTATCGTTCCCAAATGACCCTACAATAGTCATTCACATTCATTACTGTCCTACCTATGAACATATATGATGATTTCTAAACATTTGGTGTCAACTTATGAAAGAACAACCAATTATTAAGTGTGCTTAGATCGTTTTGAATAGACTATTGTAGTGTCATCAGCGTACAGTTTTATATTTCCTTTCAAAGACAGCTCAGACATGGAATTTACATAAATTAAAAATAATTTTGGTCCTAAAATGGATCCCTGCGGAACTCCACAAGTGATTTCTCTGTGATCACTTCTCAACCCATTGACACTCAGAAACTGATTCCTTTTTGTCAGATAGCTTCTGAACCAATTTTTCGCCAAATCCCTTATATCTATGTTTTCCAGTTTTTTTCAGAACTATTGCATGGCTGATAGTGTCAAATGCCTTCCACAAGGCAAATGAAACATGAGAACACGTCAGATCAATTACTGCTATTTCGGTATCACTTGACCGTCGAAACCCATATTGACACTTGTAAACAAATTTTATTTTAAACAAATACTTGCGTAACGTATCATTAACACATTTCTCAATTATCTTAGATATACAGGTAGAAGTGAAACATGCCTATAATTTGTTGGCATTTCAGGGATACTAGATTTAAATAGGGGAATAACTTTTGCAACTTTTGTACTATCGGGAAATTCACCATGTGCAAACGACAAATTCATCATGTCACTAACAAGCACTGAACATTCTTTCACTACAGCTTTCACTGCTCTCATTGTAATGCCATCGTAACCACTAGCTTCATTAGGGTCCATATTATTAATAATTTCTTGCACCTCAAATACGGTAGTGAAAAAAAAATTAAAAATGATTGCTATCCTGCTCGCTGTGGCTCATGGAATGGAAGATATGGCAGGTATTTTCAAAGATCTGGTCCTACTTCAACAAAGGAATCCTTCGTTGCATTGGTGAATTCTATATTACTACTAGTTGAGATATGATTACTTTTAGGAATGGTCTTTATCAAGACTTTTGACATGAAATACTATATAAAATCAGCACAAGAAGAAAACATGTGTATTGTATATTTATTATATATATTCTCCTATATATTTATATATACAGGGTGGGCCACCAGTAACGCCTCGGTCTCTTGAATGCTAACCACTTATCTTCTTGGAATTCTTCCTCTCTAGGAAGTTGCATGTCAACATAGGCTACCATTTAAAATTATTTCGAAACACACAGGGTGTCCCCAAAAACCATAAAACACTGAAGTTAAACTTTTTTCTATCAAACACCCTATATATTATTTCATTTTGAGATTCTCCCTGATGAGCTGATTTCAACGACCCATCATACTTGGGGTCTAGCAGTTATAATTACTGAAATATAGGGTGTGAAAAATCGAGATTTTCCAAGTTCAAGAATTTTTTGTGTCGAAACTATTCATAATTGGTCAAAACGGCTTACATGTCCCTATCTCAACTTTTGATTAACTATCTACTGATATTTGATTAGGACATATACCAGGTGATCAAGATTCTGAATTCTGTATTTGTTTCAACTGCCTGGGTAGCTTTAAATCTTGTGATTTTCTCCCATATAAAGCAAATAACTATTTAGGTCTACTCAATTTGGCAAATTAATAGTTAGACATTCCTCAATACCTTTGTGGTTGTTTGGATGTTTCTAGTGGCCGATTACTCAACCATTAGTCATCAAACACTGAGTTCATGCAATTACATACTGAACCATCAATAAATTAGAATAAAGAAATGGTATTTTGATACTCATTCTATTCATAGAGATCAGGTAGGCATAGATCGAGGTATAGATACTCAGGATGGAAAATAACATGTTGCTGCACCTGACAGACAGCTTTCAAAAATCTCACTAGGTGGCGAACGCTTATTTTTCATTGGGACATCTGGTATAATTGACACATAGAACATTATAATGTATAATACTCATTTTCATAATATTATATAGTTGATAATGTCAGGGGAGGAAGTTTAGTTCAGGTTTGCCCTACTCTGAAAATGAAAAAAGAAAATGCCCCAAGAATTAACAATCCACTAAGTGAGGCTCTCCATTTCTCTATACCCTTCAGAGAAGATAAATTACACATCTTTCTGATATATGTACATCATACTTCAGTAGAAATTGAAAATACCATATTCAACAAAGCTGCAATTTATAAATACTCCTTAATCATAGGCGATTTCAATGTTGACAGAACGAGAAAAAGACAAATTAAAAATTTCATTGAAAATTCAAATTTCAAAAAAGCGGAGACACCTCCCACCTTTTTAATGCAAAATAACCCAGACAGCACCCCAGATTTGATATTATTTACGAGCAATTTGGAGAACAGTATTGTAATTGTGGAGACTCCGGCAGACCTTGGCTCAGACCATCTAGCATTTCAGATATCGATTGAACTAAACAGACAGTGTCCTGCAGTAAATGAGTACAAATTAAATTTCAACAAATCTGACATCGAAAAAGTTAACGAAGACATGGCGAGATTTACGAGCATCCCACAAGAAATGAGTAATGAGATAATACAAGAATTCAACAAAAACTTGGAAGAATCTGTCAAAAAACACTCACCTAAAGTGGATATTAAGTTCTATCTACACGAGTTACCTCCCTTTATAATAAGGTTGATAAAAAACAAGCCGCAGAATGTATTGAGAATATAAAGTATCACATGACCCTGCTATTAAACAACAAATCAACTTATACAATAAAGATATACATAAGCTTATTAAACAGTATAGAGAAAACAAATGGTTGGAAACATGTCAAGAAATTAACCAACAACAAGGAAGAAACTACTGGAACCAAATAAAAAAATGTTCCCGATATAAACCTCGTTATATAATCCCAACAATAGAAGAAAACGGTCAAGTATACAACTCGGACGAGGATAAATCAAACATCTTCGCTCAAGTATTTGAAGAAAATTTCACCGCAGCTGATAATCCCAACTTCGACCAGGAAAATTCAGATTTAGTCAACAGGTGGTACGAAGATTTCTTTGGTAGGGACATAGAGCTCCATGAATTCGAAACAAACGAAGAAGAATATTTCACTATCTTACACAACCAAAGAAATTCAGCTCCTGTCAGCGATAACATACCCTGGTCAATTCTGAAAAAACTCGATTACAATATTCATCTCTATATAATGAAAATTTATAACTTCTGCATCAAAAACCAATATTTTCCGGACATCTGGAGGAGAGGAACGATCGTGGTAATTCCTAAACCCAATGCAGACCATTCCAGAGCAAACAACTACCGACCAATCACTCTGCTTCCGGTTCTGGGAAAGCTCCTGGAAAAATTGATTAAAAACAAACTTTCGGAATTAGTGAGACAAAAAATTCCACCATATCAATTCGGATTCAAAGAAAACTGTTCCACACTCCATCCATTAGTTATTCTGGCATCCAATGTACAAACAGCTAGAATCAACAACCAATGCTCTAGCTCTAGTGCGGTATTTCTAGACATTAAAAAAGCTTTTGATAGTGTCTGGCATAAAGGCTTATTATTCAAACTCCACATGCTAGAACTTCCTTCCTGGATGATACATATAGTGAATAGTTTCCTCTCATCAAGAAAACTCTCAGTGAAAATTAACAATGCTTTCTCCAACGAATTTTTTGCCACACAAGGTGTACCCCAGGGTTCGCCTTTGTCACCTTTGCTGTATAATGTATACTGTGCTGATTTACAAGAAATACAGCAGGTTGGAAATCAACAGATATACATTTTACAATATGCAGATGACACAGCATTAATATCAGAATATCACACCAGAGAACCAAAACAGCCGCCATTCAACAACTCCAACAATTAACAAACCAAATCCATACTTGGTTCAACAAATGGAGACTTCAAATCAACCCTCTGAAAACGGAAATGATAATTTTCAATCATACCCCATCCATCAACTCTCCCACTATCACTATCAACAATCACCAAATACATCCACGCTCCACTGTAAAATATTTGGGGGTCCATCTTGACCACAAGCTGAATTTCAATCACCACACAGCAATTGCAAAAAATAAAGTTAAGGGAAGAGCAAAGCATTTCAAATCTTTAACATATAGAGACCATGGCATCAACATCAGCACCGCTAGTAAAATCTACAAATCAATTTGCAGACCAATATTAGAATATGGCCACCCTCTATTCCTGAACATAAGAAATCCCGCAATGAAGAACCTGCAAATCGCCGAGACCTCCGCACTACGAACCATCACTAGAATGCGTCATCCAGACAATGTGCTACACAACCCACCCAATGATCTGCTATATTCCACGACCAAGGTGCAAAGGTTACAGGAAAGACTGCCAACACTGTCTAAGAAATTTGCCTCCAAGCCTGAGAACATGAATCTGATAACTCCACTGATTCTAGAAAGGACCAATGCTAGACCAAGAAACAAATTTCCAGAAAAGTCGCTGATAACACTACTTCAGGATCTAACCGAAATTCCATAATATTTTTTTATTTAATGTAAAATATTCTTGTTTTTTTTTTTTTTTTTTTTTTTTTTTCAACAAAAACTGTCTTCTCTCTTTAACCAACTCAAAAGGAAAAACATTTCAAGAAGAAGAAATAAAACATATTGGCTGAAGGACTCAGGTCGATGGCCAGTTGATTGTATTGTACATATGATCAATAAAGCACTTTATTATTATTATTACTACCAATGTATTACTTGATGTGTTATACTAATATTACTTGGAATATCACCAATAATACTATATTACTATAAAATAATACCAATATTACCATATTATTGACAGATATTACTAATATTACCATATTATTGGAAGATATTACTTATATTACTATATTACAAGAAGATATTACCAATATTCCAATATTACTAGCTGATATTACCAATAATACCTGTCATATGAAATATTACCAAATATTACTTGATAATACAAGTAATACCAGTAATACTAGAAGTATAATACTGTACTGGTAATATATTACTGGCAGGATGTACACCATACTACCATAGTGAGCCACCCCTTACCCCTTGATTGAATGTATGCACCTTGGTATACACATTTTTTGTAGGCCTTGTGTAAGTTGTTTTCTGACAAATTCTGTGAATAAAGGCATTGAGGCAAATATGATAATAGATATTGAACCAAATGATCCAAACCCAAAGTAGAATGAATAATACTTCAAAACAGTGAAACAGTTCTACAATGTACAGAGTAAGGGCTGTTATCAAGGACATAAGGCACTCAGAAGTGTGGAACATGGTAATGACTAGAGGCCCTAAGACCTGATATATTGTTGCTCATACAGAGTAAGCCAAGGATTCAGCCTAATGAATAAAATTTCAATGTGACACTTAGGTTGAGATTTGACGTGAACTATTGATCTTTCACAGGGTAAGTATGTGAAATTTGTTTTGATAATGCTATTATCATTTTTACTTACTGTTTATCTTTCTGGCAGTCTGTGCAATAGTACTGAACAGCTTGTTTTACCCAAGACTGACCAACATGTTCAGTGGATGTAATAATATGGAACAAAGGATCTTCTTCCATGAAACCTGATCCAGAAAACTCCGTTGGGTAGGATATAACAGGGTGGAAAGGACTGGCCTCTATTATCTTGGTTTTATCAGAATTTAGTTTCCACAATGTTGAGGTTTTGGAGTTGATAATTATTACTTCAAAACATAAAATTAAAAGGAATACCAAAATGCTATGGAAGTCGCCGCACATGCTGGCTGCTGGAATCATGTTTATAAGGAATCCTCTATGATCATAGAAAACCCTCCACTGGATGAATCACAAAGGGCTTAACATATTCTCCTTCCTTGACAAATCAACTGTTTTCAGATCCTTCTTGCTAGCTTGTACGAGGATAATAATGAGGATAATAATTATTATCAATGATTTTGAATAACAAATATCAAGTTTACAAAAATAATAACCCAAAACCCAAATATCAAATTCAAAACACAGACAGATGGTCACCAGTGTGTTCCTAGGTCTAATTTTTTCGTACCAGATTTCCTTGGAAAAAGGTAACAGATTTGAATCAAAACGTAATAGATTGGAAAAGTCCAACATTTGACATGCTGATGTAATGGGTTGCGTGCAAGAACTGTCAGATGACCGACGCTGGAGGCAAAATATTGAAACACAACGTCACTTTTTCATTTTTGAAATTTGGTTATTTCTCTGATTTCTCATCGGAATTCCTTCTGCAATATAGGAGCTAATAGAAATATACCTGAAATTTCTAGAAAAATGCAAGAAGATTGGATTCATGCAATCAATCGGGAGGACTGGTCTGACATGCTGACGATCGTATGTGTTGTAGACATTTTCAATCTATTAGCAGTATTAGCTTGTGTTGCAGAAGTGGCAGAAGGCAGAAGGAATTTTAATAAAGAATGACAACATTCCATAATGATAACTATGTGAGATTACTATTTACCTGAAAAATCATATTTCCTAGTCTCTTGCTGCATTGTTTGTGCATTGTACAACAGCACAATGCGAAGGCATGCTTGAATTAATGAATAATGCAAGAAACACGATTCGTATGCCAGAATATTGTGAAAAACTATTTCTACCTTTTGATTCCTCTGTAAACAAATAAGAAAGTGAGGTTGTGATTCAATAATTCACAGAAGAGTGAGGTTGTGTTTCATTATTTTGCCTCCAGGGTCGGTTATCGTGCACGCGACCTATTCTTGTCGAACTATCACGGATTAGACATTGTGGATGTGGCAGGAATGGCCAGACGGCTATGCTCATCAAAGGCAGGGTTCCTTGATGGAAATTGACGTTGAAGTCATCTTAACAGGGCACGGACAGATGAGTGTTTGTGAAACAGTTATATAGTTCCATCCATGTTCCATCCTTATTAAATTCTGAACACTAGATTGTTGACATTCGTTGTTTTTTAGGTTATATTGAGGTCACTGGCGAATCATACGTAATTTCCATATAAAATTTCTGATTCAACTATACCAAGATATAGATGAACAATCCTCTAGTTTCAGAGTTTACTACTAAATTATACCGAAAGCTTAATATATTTCACCAAAAGAGACTGTTCTTTGACTGTATACCAGGGTTGACTGAATGAATTCTGATTTCAAGCTGAGCAGTACTTTTTCTATGAGCAGAGCCTTATTATGATTGAGAAATGGTGGAAACCTTGATGTGGGTATCTAAACTAATGTACTCATGTCATGTGTACAGAATATATTTTCGTAAATCCAACTCATCAGAGAAGAATCTATGGAGATACTTGTATCACACTATGAAAAAACTTCGTCTAGGACGGAAATTAGGCTGATAAAAAGTAATACGTAAAATGTGTAGGAAAATGAAGAATAGAATATACTTTGCCTGATTTTTCCGTCTCCCTTAAAGTCATTTTCGAATAATTTATTGATGAAAGTAACGAAAGACTAAATAATTATAATCTCCGACCCACGAAATCCCCAGATGCCAATATCGATTTCTGAATAGAATTGGATCATAATTACAAAATTTGTTCGCCATATTGGCTCCGCTATCTTCAATTTCCCCATTTTGACAAAAAAATCATAAAGTTAGACCCCGAAAACCCTCAGATACCAATCTTAAATAGAATCAGATCATAATTATTAGAAATTTCTTTCGTTAGGTATATATTGGATCCGTAATCTTGAATTTTCCAAGTTTAACGAAACGATCATCATCTCCAACCCCGGAAAACCCCAGATACCTTCCAATTTTGAATTGAAATGGAATCATAATTCCAAAACTCGTTCGCCATATATGATATTCCTCAACAAGTACATACCCTGTACATACCTATTATTGAAATTTAGAATGATTTTCTGTAGCGCCCATGTCGGGGATAAATTCCAAAAAAAGCCCTCCGTTACAATCCTAGAAGCATTTCATGTAACAATTGGATAAATGCTGTTAACCCCCTATTTTGACCCCGCTGAATCCGAAAATACTGTTTATCAAGTCGAAATTCCAACCGGAAGTGAGATATTCAAGATGGCGTCCAGAATACCCCTAAAATCAAATTATTTTCTACTTTCGGTCAGCTATACGATTGAGGTGTCGATGTCTATGTTTTCGGGGGTGTAGAATACGATGAGACACTCAAAAAATGATTTGGAGCTTTGAAAGTTCATCGAATGATCAAATTTTGACGAAATGGGCCAAAATTCCAAAGAACTTGTGAAAACGTGTTGTATAATGTACATGCTTGCATACGTTTTCGAGGGTGCTCGATACGTTTATGAGTCAAAAAAGCATTGAACATTGTCCAAACCTTCATTTCTTATATTTTGAAAAAAAAAATTCACTATTGGTAGTCCTCCTCATCTTTTCTGCTCCATTCGGCTCCCTGCAGCCACACTGCTTCGTGCCGCAGTGGCCGCAGAGCCCCATGCAGCCACAAGCTCCAAATTCGGGACATGACTTGGGAATAGGCAGCAAAGTCATCAAGATTGGGACTTACCGTCCATCACCAATTTTCCAGCCGCAATTAATCGGGTCTGGTGAATCAAGATACTGATCATGGGCGTTAAACCACACACTAGTACCAAAAAAGAAAACAGACTGAAATTAAAATCCCACGATTTTTTCTATTTTCTTTTTCTTCTTGTTGATTTTATCTGGAAGTGGCACCGAAGAATGTGTTGATGGATGGCATCAGTGGTGGATGGCAAAAATCATTCGCACTGTCCCAAAAATTGCAACACGGGCTGCGTCTGCCGTTGTAATGTCCGGTCCAACTTGAGGTAAAAATGATATTAGTATAAAACGGCAGTTCTAATTCACCATGTGTCTTAGAAAAGGGACGCAACAAACCTTGTATAAAGCTGGCACCACAAACTGTTCAACCAAACGGAGATCCGCGGGGGCTATATCAGGAGTCTTTCCAAGCTGACTGAGGAGTTTACAGTAGTTTTCTTCAATGTACTGCTTCCACCGTCCTGTTTTTGTGGCAGACCCTCATCAAGATTTAGTATCACATTCGGTGATTGCGTGGAAATCCATCAGGTTTTTGATCTGTTGTGATGTGAGCTTTCTACATAGTTCATGAATTGGAATATACTTTCTATCTCGGGAAGTACCACACATCACCCAGCATTCCTTGCATTTCATTCTTTCAAAGTGATAGATGAATAATGAAATCACACTAGTGTCTTTAACAGAAACAACAACAGCCTCTCTTTCGGTTTTTACGCATGGAGTATATTCCAATTCACGAACTATGTAAGAAACTTGCACCACAACAGATAAAAAACCTGATGGCTTTCCACGCAATCACTGGATGTGATACTACATTTAGGTTAGCGTCAGTCACAAAAACAGAACGGTGGAAGCAAGTACATAGAAGAAAACTACTGTAAACTCCTCAGTCAGCTTGTAAAAACTCCCGATCTAGCCCCTGATGATCTCCATTTGGTTGAACAGTTTGTGGTGCAAGCTTTATACAAGGTTTGTTGCGTCCCTTTCCTGAGATACATGTTGAATAAGAACTATTAGCCGTTTCGATACTACCACCATTTTTATTTTGAGTTGGTGCGAATGCTTTTCGCCATCTACCACTGATGCCCTCCGTCAACACATTCTCCGGTGCTACTTCCAGGTAAAAGAAAATTGAACAAATCGAAGGATGTTGATGTTATGTTCAGATACTAGTGTGGATTAAGGCCCATGATCAGTATCCTAATTTATAAGACCCGAATAATTACGGCTGGAAAATTGTTGATGGACGATATGTCCCAATCCTGATGACTTTGCCACCTATTCCCAATTCATTTTCCGAATTTGGAACTCGTGGCTGCAAGGGGCTTTCTCAAAATATAAGAAATGAAGGCTTGGACAATGTTCAAATGCTTTTTTGGCTCATAAACTTATTGAGCACCTTCGAAAGCGTATGCAAGCATATACATTATGCAACACGTTTTCACAAGTTCTTTGGAATTTTGGTCTATTTCGTCAAAATTTGATCATTCGATGAACTCAATGCTCCAAATCATTTTTTGAGTGTCTCATCGTATTTTACACCCCCGAAAACATAAACATCGACACCTCAATCGTATAGCTGACCGAAAGTAGAAAATAATTAGATTTTAGGGGTATTTCGGACGCCATCTTGAATATCTCACTTCCGGTTGGAATTTCGACTTGATAAACGGTATTTTCGGATTCAGCGGGGTCGAAATAGGGGGTTAACGTCATTTATCCAATTGTTACATGAAATGCTTCTAGAATTTGACTTTTCGCAAAACAAGCCCCGACTATAATTGAAAAAAAATGCAGCTATGATCTGTCCGTACCCTGTTTCCATCAAGGGACCCTAATCAAAGGTAACTTTCCAGACCACCCATAAGGCACCCATGGCTGGTTACTTGTTTTTAGTGAGTGTTCGCCAATAGCCCTATCGTCCCACATTTGAAATATGAATAAATTAAACTAAATCAAAATTCTCAACAAGATGAAATATGAATATAACATTGAACTTGATAAAAATTCTTACCAAAATTAAATAAAACATTGAACTTGATAAAAATTATCAGTAGTATAAGGCGTGGTAACAATATGAATAAGATGAGTACTATGGAAATGCCAATAATTCAGAATTCCTGATTGGTAGAGTTACTTTATGTATATACACGTATATTCGAGATTATACAAGGTAACTTACTCAATTGAACATTGTTCTGATTGGTTTAAAATCATACGAAGAAAATAATCAACAAAATAAAATATGAATAACATTGAACTTAATTCTTTTTTTTTTGGGGAGGGACGATTCTTGGGTTTTTGGATTCGTGGTAAATAATAATTATATATTATATTATTTGATACGTTTCGCCTATGGCCATAGGCTTTTTCAATCTTTAATACTAGTGGTTATACATGAGAATTTTTTTTTACATAAAAAACTGGTCTCAACCACAGCTATTGTTTTATATGCATTATTCTATGGTTTTGTTTGTCTCTTTGTTTATAATGATAATTATTATGATTCTGCATTGGAGGATGAGGAAATCGTGGAAACGTGTGTTCAATGTACCATGTTCAAAACCATAGAATAATGCATATAAAACAATAGCTCTGGTTGAGACCAGTTTTTTATATATTAAAAAAAAAATCTCATGTATAACCACTAGTATTAAAGGTTGAAAAAGCCTATGGCCATAGGCGACCCCAAAAACCCAAGAATCGTCCCTCCCCAAAAACCATATAGAAGGATTCAAGAATGCATTAAAAAGGTAATTGAACTTGAAATGAAAATTCTCAGTAAATAAATGGGATATTCTGAAAGGTTTTGTTTTGGTGGAATTAGAAATACGTACAGTTCCACAGTTTCAATTTACATGTCATATCACTTTCCTACACTTTACACAATTTCACTACACATGTCCTAAACTTCACACTTTGGTTATGATAATCACAATATGATTCACAACACACCACTTATTAGTTTTCGTAACTGTTACACACAAATACTGGATGATATATCACTAGTCACTATCGGACTCTTCATGACTTGAATCTTCATTTACCCTAATGATCACTGGATACTGTCCCGATGGTGGTTAAAACTGACTCGCTTAATTGCGGTGATTGGTTATCTTCACCTACTTTGCTTTTAATAGCACCCCAAACCATCTCAATGTTAAAAACACAGTCATATGGGGGCAAACGTGAGACAGTATGGCCGTGTGCTCCAAAGAATTCATCAACTACATATTCCTCCAGGAAATTTTGTTTCCTGATCATTTCCAGTAATTCGTTCTTCAGTTTTTTTAGGAGATATTTCCATGCCTTTTTTCTCCATGAATTGAATAAGGTCAGCCTTTTTCGTGTTAGTGCTCGGTATTTTCGTTTGTTGACGTGAATGGTATGACGCAAAATCCATATCGATGACTGGATTCTCTGGAATATTTGGTATAAGCTGCTGATCTGCTAATTTCTCAAATAATTCTGCCGTCACATCCTCGTGATGATCAGCAAATGATTGCTTGATATTTTTTAGAGACAACAACAATGCATTGTCAACAAATCCATTTTCATTGCCGGCGTGACGGATTATAATTCTTTTGCCTCTCGAACTCGGACCACTCACATTACAGTTTTTGCTATCACCTACCCAACCCTATTGAACAACGTCATGAGTGTCGAACCACGTTTCATCTAGATTATAGGTCTATTCGCTACACGGAATTCCTTTATTTTACATAGATATTCTTGCCGATGGTCTACGATGGGTCTTGATTCCATAATCACCATCCTTTTGTCTAATTTCTTATGACTGAACCCGCAATCTAGTAAAACATTTCGCAACGTACTTAACGATTTGTAGTTATAATCCGCGTATTCATTCAACTTATCTCTGATAACTGGCAATGTTGGCACCTTATTCTCATTATGGAATCTAAATACAATTCGACGAATGACTCCTTTCCAAGCATCATCAAGCTTCTTTAGTTTTTGTCCCACTCTTTTTCATTTTACTTCATGATCTATATACAACACCTTCGGTTCTAAGAACTCTGTATATTATGGTGGGTATAGCTCATTTTAGTTAATTCCTGTATTCTTCTCAAGTTGGTTTTCTGAAGAATCATTATTCTCGTCCTTGAGACGCGAATAGATATTCAAAATCACCCTTAGCGTTTGAACGTTTAGGTCTTTATTGGCGAATTCCGCTTGCTCTTCCTCCGAATTACTATCACTCACTTCGTTGACTTCCTGAATAGGCCTCCAGAACACAAAACCACTATGATTCAAATAATAATTTTCTGAATTTCGAGATGAACCAATGAAGGCAACCTAGATCGTACCGCACTGCCTAGCGCAGGCTAGAAGATTCTTATCACACAGAAGACCGCCCATGCCACTCTGACTAATCAACATTCAGGAGTAACCAATGAGACGCGGTTTCTAGCATGACAGCGCTCGTAAAGTTCACGTTGACTGCACAGGCTGCATACCGGGAAAGCTCAGTAGAAAATATCTCATTCATTTCTATTCCAATGTTAAGCGTTAAGCTAATCGACAAATCCTCGTATCGTCCTTAAAAACGGAAGTTTTTCAACTGACTTCGCATAAACTATACCGGGTACTCAGAGCGAAAGTATTGAAATAATTTTTACAGCAACTTTTTTGAAAAAATTTTAAAATCGGTTTGAGTGGTTTTGGGGGCTGCGGAATTGAAAAAAAATATTTTCGAGAACCTCCCCGTATGGTATGTCGGGCGCGAACAAACGGGAAATAAAATCGTAAAAAATTTTAAGAAAATTTTCTCGGAAATTTTTGGTGAAATTGTGATTTCCATGATTTTATAATAGCCACTTGATGAGAGAAATAGCAGATCAGGAGTGTCTGGAGATGTATGAAAGACTTTGTGTATAAGCCACATATTTTTCGAAGGCAAAGATTTTCTTTAATTTAAAGGTCCGCATGTGTATTCAGAATATTGGAGGTCATATCGAGCAATTTATTATTAATACGTGTTGAACTTCTATCAATTTTTTTTGTAAAATTATTTCAATACATTCGCTCTGAGCACCTGGTATTTCCATATTTACCTTTTCGTACGTGAAAATTTACGCCCTCTTCCAATTTCGACGAAATAAATAGGAGTATGTGAACATTATGAGATTACCGTAAGCCGCATAGTCATCAAACAATAACCAGTACTTTTCGAATTATCTTAGAAACAAATGATGTTATCGAAATTTTACACGAGACAAAAAATACTCAAAAATGATTGAACACTTGAAGAAAAATGAATAGAAAGTCATTAGCGCACGAACAAAAAAAAATATGGGGCTGAGTGTCTACTTAACCCCCAGTATTTTGAATATTTTACAGTTATTTTTTGTTTTTCTTTTCCTCACACGATGTAACTCTTTGTGCTATAGTGATATGTAGCAATTTTGAGATCGATATCTCATTGAATACGCGAGTAATAAAAAAATAAAAAATTAATTTCCAACTTTGACACCCTGTATATCATCGAATATGACAGCCAAAAATGAAAAATGGTATTTGGAAACTCATATTGTTTTTGTTCAAGGGATATATGGTTAATGGATTGACCTCCTTTTAGCGGACACTCTGTATAGTACCCTCAAAATATTATTTTGTATTTGAAGGCATGGAAATAATGACATGTTGTCCGCCACTGGGTCTTCGGCAATGTTCGGAGATTTTGGCTGCTATCTTTTGCTGCCATTTTCACACACCTGTTTATATAACCTATAAACTTTGAGATTAGCAGTGGGGATTACCTGTGATTTTGTTTTTAAAGTATCAGCGAAACCAGAGAAAACCTGACAAAAATCATAGTGAAATAGCAGAAATCAAAAAGGAAAATTCGATTTCTATTATCACGATATGTGGGTCTGTTACAAAATTTGTATTTGTATTAGTGATGAGTAGATAATAACTACAAGACTTCCCCTCAACGGTGATTCCGATCCCAGACACCTTGCCCTGACCTCATGGTGATTGCACTAGACCATAGATACAAATCCAGACATCCAGAGAAATATACTATACTTTCAAGAGTGTTTTATTAAGACTAAACATCTCTATTGGACTCCCCATAGGCATCTATATTTCAGTGATTGCCAGGTGGGTAGGTGTGAGAGGGACTACCCACGATTCAACTTCTATAAAAAGATATCTGAGAGGGTATATCTGATTATAATTTCAAAAATTGTGTGTTCCCAGTCATGATGGTATTTGAAAATGAAAAATTAGTCATATTGTATGGTTCACAAACTGGTAATGCTCAAGATTTAGCTGAACGGATCTGGAGAGAATCAAAACGTTTTTATTTTAGAACAACTGTTAAAGCATTAGATGACTATGATATTTCAGAATTGCAGAATGAAAAATGCATAATATTTGTCTGCTCAACTACTGGACAAGGTGAAGAACCTGATAATATGAAGATATTCTGGAAGTTTCTGCTGAGAAAAAGTCTACCAACAACAATTTTGACTAACTTGAAGTATGTCTTAATTTTCATAGTTATTCTGAATTCTGAGATTTTCTAGCATTTATTAAATAATTCCAGATATGCTGTACTGGGTCTTGGTGACTCTAGCTACACCAAATTCAACTTCGTAGCGAAGCGGCTCCATAAAAGGTTGCTACAATTAGGTGCAAACACAATTCTTCCTCTTGGCCTAGGTGATGATCAACATGACCTAGGATATGATGCTGCAGCAGATCCTTGGATTGAAGATCTTTGGAATAACTTGTTGATATTGTACCCCCTTCCAAATCATGTACAGCCACTCTCAAAGGATTTCACAATAATACCAAGGTAATTTGACCCCACTTGTCAAAATATAAGTTAGCAAGGAGTTGACCACAGTTTGAATAGTTAATGAATTTTTATTCTCTGTTTATTTCCTTCATTTCCTATGCATTCCTGAACATTTCTCTAATTTCTCACAATTCCTTGAAATTCCTAGAAATTTCTTGAAATCCCTCAAAATTCCTCTAATGGGGAAGACCACTGATTTTTTAAAACTACATTATCGTGAACTCTATACTGAAAAACTACCAGTGAATTAATTTTGAATTTTTTCATTCATGTTAAGACGATGAAAAAAATAAATTAGTATAAGTCCATTTCAAAACACAGAATTCCTGCCCCATTTGAAATTTCATCAATTCATTGGTGTGACTGGTGGGACGTCTAAGTCCCAACACGCCTATATTCCTTGAACTGACCAATTACACTGCAACACTGCAGAATGACGAGATATCAGAGAGAGATAGCTACAGTTCGGGACTAATACGTCACGACTCCTCCATCATATTTGGCTGTTTGAAATATCCAATGAAATGTGCTGATTTCAAAACGATATAGATCCGATTTCCTTCAACTTCAACTCATAATATTGATTGTACATAAAATGTAAATCATCCTTCGTCAATTGAAAGAGGTTTGCACGGATTTCTTTCCTCAGTGGTCTTCCCCATTCCCATTCATTTCCTTCTAATTTCTTGCATTTCCCAGGAATGATTCATTTCCCATGCATTTTCTTCATTTCCCATTTATTTCCTAAAAATTTCTCTAATTCCTGGCATTTCCCTGAAATTCCTCTATTTCCCTTTTGTTTCCTTTCATCCAAAAAGTCCAAAATCAGAGGTCAAGGGCACACTTAATTGAATAAAATCCTTGAAAATGTAAAGTCATCCATTACCATCTCTAGTGATGTAAAGGGGGGAATGCATTTTCAGCAAAAACGAGAATGTTGAGCACAAACAAGACTTTTCAGCACTATCCCAGCCAATGCATGCGTGTATCGCATGTAAATCCCCTTGTTCTGGTATTAGATTTAGTTAGAACAATAATTCCTTTCTTTGGGTAAAGGCACAGATGTGAAGGTCAGCATGTGTGGTTACAGAAAATTAATTGTAATGAACTTTTGGTTTTTTGCCCAGTAAGTCAGGAGTACTTGAATTGATTAATGGGTAATTTTTCTACAAATGTCAAAAAATGATAAGGTTCGCGCATTGATAACAATATGCAAAGTGACACTTTTTTTCAGTTTCTCACATTACAAGGACACAGTGAGCCTAGTAAAACAGTGCGCGATGTAAATATTTCACGCATTGCATGTAAAATATATAAGATTTTTGTATTATAACCTTCATGGTCCTCAGACCTCAAACAAGCAAACAGAAGAAATCATTCCTTTCTAAATGTTTAACCACAATAATTGAGGCTGCACCTCATTAAAAAAATTAGTTCACGATCACTCCATTCAAAATTAACTATTATATTCAAATTAATATGCCCAGAATAAAATACAAGGCATTTTGATTTCTCTCTTTATACAAACGAAATGATCTCCTATTCCTGCAAATTTTGTAATTGTGAATACAGCCGGCCACACAAATGGCAAATCATTTGATAAAATGTGTTGAAAGTCAAAATTAAACGCAGCACCTATTTGGAGAGTGGATCATTATCTTATGAAGCATTAGGAAAATTATGATCATTTTCATCAATTTGAGAATTTTGAGCATTTTGGGCATTTTCAGAAAGAACCGCAAAAAGTGAGTTTTTGAATAGTTTACTACACCCCAAACATAAATTCTCGACTTTTTTTCGTTTATGCTCATTTATTCTCGTTCATGCTCGTTCGTGCTCAGGGGAACGTTCTGCAAAAATACTTTCTCGAGAATTTTACATCACTAACCATCTCACAGGTATTCTGAAAACTATTCTAAATTCATCATTGTGTTTGAAGAATTTGATAGTTCAATATAAACTTTGCAAGGAAATTTGTAAATTTCTGAATTTCTTTCATACTATAATATGTCACTTTGCAAGTATAGAAAATATATAAGAGGATCAAAATCACAACTCCATCATGGACACATATCCAAAATAGAGTTCCAAATCACCCCCCCCCATGATGTGTTCTACCATCTTTTATAACTGAGATACAAAATGTTTTCTTGATTTAGGAAATCTCCATCTGGTCATAATTTTTGAACCACTTCTTATAATGTATTCATACTTGGTAGAAATATTCAACTTATATTACCCATCAAAATTAAATGAAAATCTAGGCTGGAATCCAGGTTGGTCTTGAGAAAAAACAGAAAACTTCTTTTATTTCAGAAACAACACTCTTCAAAGTTCAATATCATTAGAGTATCTTAATTAGAGTCAAATTAGGTGAACTATTGATAGATTTGTTCCTGTGACAAAATAACTTGTCAGTTATTTTAAAATTTTTCTAAGGGCTTATTTTATTTTTGATGATTGATTCATGAGCTGTGGTAAAGTAGGCTATCGACAAAAAAGTTGAGCTTAACTTCCTGTTGATTCTTATGATGATATGATCACTCCAAAAAAAAAATAATAGTTTGAAAAACTAAAGAAACACACTTTCATGGATAGCCAAACTATGAAGTAGAAAATCAAATAATAAAAATATGTCCATAAATAAACAAAATAGACAATACGAGGGGCGAACCGCAGACGAAAATTTGTACACCTGACTTCACATTCTCCTAAGACTTCACTGACTTCTTCGAGACTTCACTGACTTCATCATGACTTCACTGACTTCATCATGACTTCACTGACTTCATCGAGACTTCAGTGAATTAATCGTGACTTCACTGACTTCATCAAGACTTCACTGACTTCATCGAGACTTCAGTGACTTTATTGGTACTTCTTGGAACATGGATTTCTTGGTATTCCATAGACTACTTGATACTTCTCAAGATTTCCATTGAGATATTACGTTGAGAAGTGACGTCATTATCTAGTTCATTAAACGAAAAAATAGGGAAAAAAATCGTGAAGTCGTGAATTTCTGTAGAGTGATAAAGGAAAGTGCTATGAACAACATACTAAAAGTCCTGACCCCTAGGGGATGAGCGGGGCAGTAGTGGAACGTTTGAAGGTAATTTTCTCAAGTTTTTCTTGAATAATTCGACAATCGCGAACTCTAGCGAAAAAATGGAGGTATACAAAATTGAAGAACATGGAATTGCCTATGAAAACGTCTCTATTCATTTTTCGTCTACATTGAATAGTTCTTGAGGAAGAGAAAAAATCGAGAAGTATCAAAAATAAAGTTTAATGGTTTGAATTTCATGTTCAATGTCTCACATCATGGAAATCGTGTTCAACGTGGCTGATAACTGGAAAAATACATTATTCCTTGAAAACAAACATATAGAATGTATACGTTTTAATAATTGACAATAATCATCTTCGTCCACATTTTCCATATCCAGCAACGGTGCAACATTCGTATATATACGTATCGTGGCACATGCTGCACACAGTGGAGCATGGAATTTCAGCTTTTCATATTGTCCCCCAAATTCAGTTGAACATCGGCAAAAGATGCTGTTCAGTATCGCTTCAGGTGCGACTGGATCATTCGTTTTCACTGGGATGAGCGATCCACTCGGCGATCCATCCCGTTACTGTTTTTTGTTCTCGAAACCTCAAACTTTCATACTTGCAAGGGAAATGTTTCTCAGAAATCTGTTCTATCATTCATCACTAGCAATACCAGTCAAACGAACTCGACAATTCCCGTCAGCACATTATTTGGTCTTCAACCTTGAAATAGGTCGAACAACTCTTTATACGAAAACTCGTTTGTTTATAGAACGGCAAAGTTTTAGAATTCTCCGTCAAAGGAAATTTTTCCTAAGAACTCCTAATCCCCAATAAAGACATTTCCAATATTTACCTCCTCTTCCTATCCTCCCTGGGTCAAACGATGTTTTCTTCGAACATTATAGAGATTCCCGTCCGTGTGCTCCAGTAGATCAAAAAAGTCACTACCTATATATTATTCACTAATCCACGTATCCCTTTTTTATCAACGTTTTATCAACTACTGACAATATGATACTCAAAAATTGAACACTTATCCGTCATTCTTTATAGATAACCTCTTATTCAAGTGAAAAACTCACTAAGTGCCATAATTTGATGAAAAGCCCATAGGTATTCATTTCATGAAACGCCAGGAAATAGTGAGACATTGAACATTGATTTCATACCCATAAACTCTATTTTTGTAACTTCTCGATATTTTCATCCATTGTAACTCAAAAACTATTCATTCTAGACAAAATACGAATGAAAACTCCTTAATAGGACATTTTATGTTGCTCAATCTTGTATAATTTCAATTTTTCACTGGAGGTTGCGATTTCAAACGCTCCCCTACCGCCCTGCTCATCTCCTATGGGTCAGGACTTAAAGTAAATTGTTCATGACACTTCCCTCTACCACTGTACAAAAATTTTGCGACTACTCGATTTGTTTTCCCTATTCGATCTATTTTGGCCTTCGTTGTTCGAACTGATGATCGCATATTTTCCTAATATAATAATATATGATATTATTTTTCTTGACATTCAGACAAACCTGGTACGTATTTATATTACGATTTTCAGTAACAAGACTTCACTGACTTCATCATGACTGCACTGACTTCATCATGAATTCACTGACTTCATCGAGACTTCACTGACTTCATCGAGACTTCAGTGACTTCATCGTGACTTCACTGACTTCATCATGACTTCAGTGAATTCATCGAGACTTCATCAACGTGTACACCAGACTTCATTAGCGATTCGCCCCTCGAGACAATATTAGCACTTCTATCTAATATTTAAAATTCTCCTGTTCTGGTCATGGTGTTAGCAGTCCAACTCCTCCGAAACGGCTCAACCGATTCCTATGAAATTTTTTATGCGTATTCAGTAGGTATGAGAATCGGTCGTTATCTATTTTTCAAATCGAAAATTCAAGATGGC